TGATTTTCTGCTTTCTGTCTCTCTGTCTCTCTCTCTCTCTCTGGCAAGCACATGCACCTGATAGCAAAAACCTCTCCAGAAAAAGAAAAAAAAAAAAAAAGAAGAAGAAGAAAAAAAAGACTTCCCCATCAGAATGTGTGTCAAGAAAACCAAATCATCATTTGTTTATTTTGCGTGAAAGTGGAGTCTTCTTTCAGTTCTCTTGGGTTCCTTGAATTCTTTTTTTAAAAAATTATTTGTTTATTCCATTTGTTATTATTATTTTTTAAGTTGACCAGAGAGACAGAGAAAGGGAGAGCGAGAAAGCAAGCCGCCAGGTCCAGGACTTGAAACATAGTCGGCCATGTGGGAATCCAGCACCTTTAACCACTACGCCACCTGCTGGCCCAGGGTTCCTTGAATTCTGATGGCAGTACTTTAACCAAATTACTATGGGTAATTGGGCAAAATGTGCTACTCTGGATGTCTCTAACTGCTTTCCCTTTTCCTTCTAGGCGGCAATCATTAGTAGAGTTCAATGTAGGATTGTGGCTTTGGATCTGCGAAGTCATGGTGAGTCAAATTCTTATTAGTCATGAAGTGACATAGTCACCAAGCTCCTTTAAATAATGTTAAATGTTAAAAATTTCAGTGTGACCTTAAAATAACCCAGTCAATTATTCCATATGGGTATTTGAGGAGAAGTCCTTCCTTCTAATCTTGATAAATGTATGTGTGAGTATGAAAGATATTTTTATGGCCAGCTGGTAAAGTAGTGGTTAAGTCATCTGGATCCCACTGGCAAACTGTGTAGTTTGAGTACTGAAGCTGGCAGCCTGAAAAAAACGCCAGGTATATGTGTATATGTGCCCAAAATCCCAGGAGGAGGATGAAGGAGAGAAGGGGTTGTGGCATGGGCATCCCCCCTAGGGAGTGCTTTCTCATTCTCTCTCTCTCTCTCTGGTGAGCACATGCACCCTATAGCAAATTAGAAAAAACAAAAAGTATTTTTATATATTATACTGTATAGTATATAAAACATTCGATGTAATTTGAAGTATATAAGATAGTCTATGTTGGGACCAGCAGTTGGCGTAATGACTATGTCACTGGACTCATATGTTGTTGACCGTGGTTTGAGTCCTGGACCCAGTGGCTTAAACTCACGCTGGGTGCATGTGCATGTGAGCCCAAGATCCTGAGAGGAGAATGGAGAAGGGATTGTGGCATGACCATTCCACCAGGGGGTGATTTCTCACTTGCTATTTCTCTGTCTCTCTCTGTCTTTCTGGCAAGCATACATGCCCTATAGCAAAAACCTCTCCAAAATAAAACATAAAAAAAGATAGTCTATAGTTATATATTATATAATTTATATGTTACAGACTTTTTTCATATTACATAATATTTATATAATATATAACATAAATGCATAAGCTAAGAAAATGAGTTGTTAGTAAAGTCATGACCCTTTTTAAAATAATTGTTTATTTTATTTGTTATTATTATTATATTATTATCAATTTGACCAGAGAGAGAGAGAAAGAAAGGGAAAGTGAGAAAGCAAGCTGCCAGATCCGGGACTTGAACTGTGGTCAGGCATGTGGGAGCCCAGCACTTTACCCACCACATCACCTGCCAGCCTCCCCATTTTTGTGTAGAAAAACATAGGAAAATATGTCATGACTTTTCTGATGATCTAACATCTCTCTTTTCTTAAATTTAAATTTTATTTATTACTATTATTTTAATTTCCTATAGGACATGTGTACATTACCAGAGAGACAAAGAGAAAGAGAGAGGGAAAGTGAGAAAGCAAGCTGCCAGGTTCAGGACTTAAACTACGGTTGGCCAGCACCCCAACCACCTGCTGGCCCTAACCCAGCATGTTTTAAACTAACCAAATTCTGTTACTGGTAATGTGAAAGGAATGTGGATAAGTCTTTGCTAGGCTACTCTAATTATGCTTCTTAGAGCAGCAAACTGTAAAGACTTGTCTATATTTAATGTAGAAAATCATTGCTAAATCCATCATATAAAATTATAAAGTCCTTGGGCCAGCAGGTGGCATGATGGTTAAGACACTGGAATCCCTTGGGAACCAGCAGTGAGTGTAATGGCTATGTCGCTGGACTCCCATGTAGTCGACCGCGGTTCGTGTTCTGGACCCAGTGGCTTAAAACTCACGCCGGGCGTGTGT